GAGCCTCTTACTGTTTGTTTTAAATAGTGAGTCTGCAAACATCAACATAAATAGGAGCCACTTCTACTCTCATAGTTCAAAGCATTTTCACAGTGTTTATAACTGCTAATGAACAATGTTTCAGAGAAAGCAGAACCCAGGCTTCCAAGATTTGCACATTTTGGGTTATGAGACGCTCAAGGTTGTGTATTGTAAACAAGCTTTAGAAACTCTTCTGCATATTTGTGCTTTGGACTGTAGCAAGCTTTAAAAGAAAATGTCTAATTGTGACTGGATTTGTTTTATAAATTGGGACTGTTTCAGCAGTCTGTGTGGCCTTCCATTCAGCTGTTTGTTTAAGCCAAGCTAAAAGCCACTTATCTAAAGATGATTTATTCTCACTCTTGAGCTGACAGATCCAGGCTGGGAAGGTCAAAAGCTGAATTGTAGAGTTTAGTCTGAGCCCCCATCTTCGGTCAAACCATAAGGGGAGCATGAAGCACTGGCCAGAACATTGTTCTAGAAGGTACTTGTGGGTCCCTTTTAGGTTGCTTGTAGGATACCTTTTTAAAATAAACACCTGTGGTATGTGATTGACTCAGATTTGACCTTTGCAGCTGTTCCCTTCTATCTGCCTGGTATGCCAAAGCAAAACCCTGCAGTTCAACATCTGTAAAATCAAAACCTTAATTCAGATATTATAATTTGGATCAGCTTCTGACTTTCTGGTTTTGGCAGTGTAAGTAAAATGGAGGCCAGTGTTTCTTTATCTAGTTCAGAAAAAGATATGTTATGTATTTACTTAACATATAGCAATGTTGTGTAGTAAAAGGCAACAGCTGAATAGTCTTAGCTAGAATGTGGAAGTATAACTTGAGGCAGAGTATCCAGTTGTCAAAATTGCATCTACAGAGGAAGAGGTTTTAGCAATATTTTAAGATGGTATGTTTTGTTAGATTAAAACAACCAAAAGATTTTTGCATTCAGTAACTCAGTTTTATTCTCTCTGGATGCTGTGAGGATCTGATGTTCTCACTGACATCTTTTCACTGTGTTAGACTTCACTTAATGCAGAATCTGACTATCAGCATGGTTCAGGGAGCAGAGTAGATGATGCTGAAGGTGTAGTTTTGACCTGTCCAAGAGCCGTGCTGTCCAGCCGAGGAGTGGTAGGGTGGGATGGTGCTGCCGAGACCCTCGCGCTGAGGACCTGTCATGGTGCGTGGCTCACATGTCTGCTTGCTGTTCGGGCCTGTTTCCCTCCCAGGGTACCTGCTTTCCTAGCACGGATGGCCTCCTCCCATGCCTGTACAGTTGAATGAAATAGTAAAAACAGGGGGAGGCCCAAATGATTAAAGGGTGAGCCAGCTTTTTGTAGTCTGCTTCCTCAGTGAGAGTTATTTTGAATGAGTTAATACCAAAGGGGTTAAAGAACCGTTGTATGTTTTGAATTTGGGCTGTCAAAGCAAATATTTTGACAGTCAGTCAAAAGTGGATATTGAGCGGCATGCTGTGAAGAACATACCAGTTCTGTCATGGAAAACACTTGTAGAGGGATGGGAAACTGAGAGGAGGAATAAACAGCCATTTTTCAGCCTTGCAAAGGCCTAGCCTGAGTTTCTGTGAGCAAAAATGGAAGAAAAGGGGTGAGCAGAGTGCTGGAGGGAAGCTTCATGAAGTGCAGTTATTTAACAGTCTGTAGCTGGAAAGGCTTTGGTGTGTAGCACAAACATGCTGTTGGAGCTGTGTAAGAATTGGTTAGGTTCATTTGGAAACTTAAGGTGAGGTGTCTTGGAAGGAAAAGGTTAACTGCACAATTATGACTGAACTGTAACTTATCTCCCGTACTTCATGTGCAGTCTTTCCTTGCTTAGTCTCACAAAGAAGAAATGCTCCTGCCCCTCCTCTGGTCTATATGTTTCTGCCTGTCTGCTCATGAAAAGGAGTTGCAGGAGGGTGGCCCCTGCCCCTCGTTTGGTCTCAATCCATTCATATGTTTCTGTCCATCTGCTCACAAAAAGGAGTTGTAGGTGAGTGGCACTCCCATTTGAGGGCATCACTAGTGCAAGAATAAATTTATGCAGAAGTTCTCCCATGAATAAGGGTATGTTGCTCTGGATATGTGTTTTGTACCAGAATAAAGTACTCGTTACCTGGGAAAAGATGAATTGTGAAGGTTTAATTGGAAATCAAAGTATATTCTGTTGAACTGTAGTTATTGATGACATTTACTAACTTTTAGGTGCTGTGAAGTTTGCCTGTGTTGCAAAACAGGGAAGTATACGTTTCACTGAATTCCTAAGATTTGACTCAGCCTCCATATCATCTTTAGACAGGCTATTTTGCTTATGCAGTGACTTCTCTAGAGATGCTGTGTTTTAAAATGTTGTTGCAATTTATTCTTGCACTTGTATTTCAAATGGAAAAGAACCCCATGGTTTGGTTTTTTTCTTCTGATTCTAATACAGCATCCCACATTTGTTATCAGTGCCATGTTTTTATGGCTGCCAGTGTTCATCTGACATTTCCACCTACTTAAGTAAATATGAACTTTGTTCTCATCTATGTTCAATAAACAGTATTTTATGTTCAGTAGGTACAGAGTAATCAGTAACAGCTATGATGGGTGTTCAACTCTTACTGCACCTCAATTAAAATCCTGGCATTACAAAGATGAGGAGTTCACATGGGTGTGGTGCTTGCACAGAAATATGGATTTTAGAGCTTTTTGGAACTTTTCTTAAAAAACAAAGACATTTTCTACTAAATTCTCTTTAGTTGTGCAGATGACATCAGGAAAATGTAGGTTTGTAGTGGACTTTTCCTACATTCCAGTTGTTATTTAAAGTAGAAATACTGAGAGAACTAATTTTTTTTTGGCAGGCTGATACTTCAGCTCTCTGTTATTACACAGGGTGTATTCCAGTCATCAGTATGTCAGGTTGCTTGAAAACTTCATGCTTCCCCCCCAAAAAAATGGAAAATGAGCTGAACTGTTATCTCAGTATGGCTAAAGCACAACTAAATAGGTTTTGCCTTTTTTTAAGGCAGTGCTGTAATGTTGACCTAAGGGATTCAAAATTCAGTTGTTGGCACAGCAACTTAAGTCTATGTATCTGCTAGTACCAGAGGTGTCTGCAGATCTAGATGAGAAAGAGTAATGTGGATAAAATCTTGCAGATGATTAACTATGACCAGTATAGGAGGGAGTAGAAATTGCTGGATTAAAGTCTGAATGTGTTGAAGTTGTGGGGGTGTGTTTCATTTTGCATTCAGTGGGACTAGGATTCAACCACTGAGCTCAAAACTCCTGAGACATGAAATACCAACCACATGACAAAGCTAAAAAAAAAAACAAAAAAAAAAAAAAAAGAGGATGTCTGTTTTTCTGGCATCTGCTGACCCCTTTGTGTTTGGCAGCAGCGCAGCAGCGAGGTCCAGATCTGGTTCTCAACTCTCTTGCCTCCAGTTCAGTGTTGGTATTTTGTTTTTTGTGAAGAAAACTTGGAAGTGCTACATTCTCATCACGGAGAGGGTAATGTGAGGGCATTTCCTGCTACCTCCCCTTGCTTTCAAGTGACACAGAGGCATGTGCGATGACCCGTTTGTTATTTTAAGGCCAATATTTGGATATGAGTTGGAAGTATAGCGATCTCTGATTGCCTCTTGTACTAAGATAACTGTAATTCTGGGAATGTCATCAGCTACTCTTGAAAGGCAGCATAAAGGCCTGGGGGAAGCCCTGGGGATCATTTTGCTGCAGTCCCAGTGTGCACGGGACTGTTGATGGGGGAAACTGAGAGGAGTCAGGAAGCTCAAGGCTGACTGGCAACCCCCCTCACCAGAGCTCTTGGCCACTTCGCAGCAACTGGTACATTTTTCTGCAGATTCCTGTTTACAGTGGCCTAAGTCATCAGAGGCTGCCAGTGTTGGCATCAGTTCAAGATGAGGTGTGTGACATACCTGCAGGCAGATAGCTTTTCTGAAACACTGGTACAAAGCTGGGTACAGACCTGGGGAAGCACTGCTTCTGCAAAACCTGGGCTTCAAAGGGATGGGCAGTGTCACCACATTGCAGGGTGGGCTGTTCCCAGCTGCAATCCTGTTCATCTCGTCTCGAGGCCAAGGTTGGCTTAGCTGCAGTCAGCAGAAGCCCAAAAGGTTGGAACAAGGTTCCTTCATTGCTCCTTGCACCCAGGTGCCTGTGGCACGTGGCGCTGTACCGAGCTCCCTTCCCAAAGGCACGCTGTGCTACCTCCCCAAAATGAAGGCAGGAACTGCACGTCTGTGAAACTGCTTAAACGTGTACGAACATTTTGCTGGGTAACTGCCAGTAACCTTGGTTAATTTCGACCAGAGGAGGATGACGGGGGCGTGGTGATAGGAGTGGGTGGGACTGCTGGGTGTTAGAGACCTTTGCTTGCAAAGTGCTTGACAAACACCCTCAATAGGATGGGGCAGAGTAGATACTGTAAGTACTGCCGGGCGGGAGCTTAATCACTCCCCTGGGACAAAGCCATGATGTTTCCAGCAGGCTCTGTTTCACCGGCCCTTGTTAGGGCTTTTGCATGTTGATGTGGTTCTGCACAAGATCTTGGCTTGTTGCGGGGGTGGAAATGAAGACTTTTTTCTCACTGCTGATGTGTTGTCTCTTTCTCTTGTAGGTGTGTGATGTCAAACAGTGGGCAGTCCTTGCAGTCTCCCCCGCCAGCCTGCAGTGTCATGTGCCAGTATGAATATTAAGAAAGAAAAGCATACTTCAGAGCGCAGCATCCCAGAAAGAAAAAAGGAGGAACTAAACGGAAAGAACAAATGACTGCACTGCTTGCAAAACTTGGGGCTGTTCACTTTTTCTCCTGAGAAATTTCATCTTGGCCTTTGTGAGAGAGCTGAAAGAGCAGACAGAGCAGCCACCCTGATTATCTTAGGGTCCTTTTTTTCTTTCTTAATTTAATTTTTCCCCCCTTGTGCCTGGATTTTAAGACTGTCAGCTGCACTGATCACAAGCGCTGGACATCAATATGTGTCATGTCATTGTAACGTGTCGGTCGATGCTATGGACTCTCCTGAGTATTGTCGTGGCTTTTGCAGAGCTTATTGCTTTCATGAGCGCAGACTGGCTGATTGGCAAAGCAAAGCCTTCAAACTCCGAAGATGTGGACAACAGAACAGGGGGATCGCAGGAGCCTTACCATCCAACGCTGGGCATCTATGGGCGCTGCACCAGAATCTCCCACACGCAGCTTTCTAGACGAGACACGCTTTGTGGTCCTTATGCCGAAAACTTCAATGAGATTGCCAGTGGGTTCTGGCAGGCAACCGCTATTTTTCTAGCCGTGGGAATCATGATTCTCTGTGCTGTGGCGTTTGTGTCTGTCTTTACTATGTGTGTGCAGAGTATTATGAAGAAAAGCATTTTTAATGTCTGTGGGCTGCTACAAGGGATTGCAGGTATGTGTACTTTGACAGCAACTAAAGATGTTAATTTGGGGCCATTCAGCTGAAGAAATAGAGCAATTCTGTCCTGTCTACAGACTGCATTAGGCAGACCCAAAGCAGTTCTATATGCTGGTGTTTATTCAAACACAACTGAAATTTATAGCTACACAGCATGTAATACATTGACATTGGCAGCAGAATTGCAGCCTGTTGTGTGCCAAAATGAACTGACCAGTGTTGCTTTTGTTTGCTGTTCAGTTTTTTCATCTGTTTGAATTTCTTTCAGTAACAAAAACTTCTCCCCTTTGTTACCAGCAGAGAGCAAAGTTAATACTCACTCACGTTAAGGCAGTCTATCTCCCTCTCACTACTTCAGTAATTTTTCCGTGGACTGGACTGAAGGCAGTTCTCAGTGTCTCGGAGGCTTCATGACTGTGGTGAGAGCAAATACCACCCCGAGGACATGAACAGCCTGCAGTCGCACACGCCATTCCCCAGCTGTTCATGCTAAGCAGCCTTCTTCAAGGCTGTGAGTTTGACAAGTGATATCTTATGATAAACCCTTCCTTTAGCCAGCTTACTGTTCAGCTGCAGTTACACAGCCCAGTGAGCTTATCTATTCACTGTCTCAAGTATCAGCTGTGCTTTGCCTGAAAAGATGAATTGGTTCTAGAGATTTGGTGTTTCTCCTTAAACCCATGGATTTTACAGAGATTAAATAACTGTTAGTAAACTGACACTGGACAGCCCTAGTTAGACAAGTATTTGGCTTTCTGTACTTGCCAGCAAGCTGTGGGGAGAACCTGTCCCATATGCAGGTTTTCATCTTTTGTGCTGTGCGCGTGTGGTCATCTGGAGGAGGACAGTAGTCTTCTGCCCTACCTCTGGCAGCCCTCAGAGACCTGTGAGGAGGGAGGCTTTCCCTCTTGGTGGTGCTCTTAAGCAGATGTTTTCAATTCAAAAAATGTTTTTGTTACAAAAAAATTGGGAAGTTTTAACTTGTTTCCTTGAAGAGTGAATCTGGCTTCTTGCCTCCACTGAGGTGACCAAACATATCTGTAGTGGCTGTACCTTGACAGGAGGTGTAATAATAGGTGTTCAAACCTTTATGAAGCTGGTTGGTTTCATTTGCTTGGTTGAGACCTAAATGAATCTTATTCTACATACACATGGGGAAGTGGGCAAAAACTTAATTTGTTGCCTGCTGCAGCCTTCCAGAGCCAGCAGTATGAGCCAGGGACAAGCTGACGCTGGCCCCTGAAGCACTAGCCTGGTGGCTCTCACCACCTCCACTTCATGCAGCTTCGGTATAAAAGCATACTGCTTATTTCATGTCATCCACAATGTAAGGGTTGTGCTTCTGGGGCAGAATTAGATCCCTAAGTTGGCTCAAGATGCTTCTGTTCACATGATGGCATACAATTAGCAGATGAATGTACTTTAGATAAAAATTACAGGTTTTGCTGTAGCCACTCCCAGTTTGCAGAATTTGCCAGAACCAGTGCAACAAGGAAGCAGCTCTGCAGTGCAGATTAAGCCGGGGGAAGGTATTAGCTCCTTGCTTTCTTAACCTGTATTTCAGAAATAATCCATGAAACGTGTTTTTCAGCAGATGACATTACTTCTTTTCTGTTCGAGGGGTATTTGTACGTGAGAGATTGGTTAGCAGCGTAAGTAGGTATTTGGCACGTCAGACTTGGGGCTGTTGAGAAGATTACTTACAACTCTGATACCATCTCAAAATATCTAGTCTAACATCAAGATTAGCAGGAAGTAGGTTCTTGTATCTTGGAATACTGTTCTGGGGACCACGTATTTGTGAGAAAATATGTGCAGTTTTATGTTTTTTAATCAAACCGGCTGTACCTGTAATGTGACTTGTGGCCTCATGAATTGAACAACATGGTCAACAAAGCATTTCTTACATGTTAGAGAGTAGATCAGTCCTTTATGAGCTGTACTGAGGATAGAAGCACTTCCTTTCTTATAATTCAGATAAATGACACAGCATGAAACTGGATAACAGAAAGGTCACAATACTGAAACTGTTGATGTAAGTACGTCTGCCAGTATTTGCAGCAAGGCGTCTTGTGGCTAGCAACTCGTTTTCTCAAGATTAGTTTTATTGGGTCCGCTGCTACTTTTGTGCCAGTAGCATTGCAGCATCTGCTTACTTAGTTGAAATTATTTTCCTTATGACTTATCACAGCTGTTAATTTCAACTTTCTCAATTCCTGAGTTTTGGAAAATGCTTAAGCAAGTTGTTCATAAGGACAGTTGTCAGCATGGTTAATCCATACAGGGATTATGATAGCTAGACCAATGGCCTGACCAGAGAACAAGATACAACCCTGTCTTAATGGTCTTAAGTGTAAGATCATTCTTCAAATGTGAACAATTATGTTTTTAATAAGCATAGGAGAAGAATTCACAAAATCACTTTGTTTATCAGCCTATATCAGTCCAATATTTGCAAGTATGTAAAACATCTCATTTTCAAAGACGAGAAGCACCCATGGTAGTGTCATCTACAGGAACTCAGGATCTTGCAGACTTAATCTCATTTAAAATCTCTATATCTTTGCAGTGGAGATTTAATATAATTAAAAACATACAACAAGTTAATTTATTCCTGGAATTCATCATGAAAAAACAGTAACAGACACTGGATATATCTTTTCAGTCTAGCAACATTGGTTGTGACCTGGATGATGCCTATGGTGAAATTACAGAACAGAAAGCTATGTCTCTTCTGTTACAACCCTTGGACAAATATGCAAACTCTCATTTAGGTCAATGGGAAGGAGCCATATACACATCTCTCCATAGACGTTTGGGGTTTTTTTGTGGCAGAAAATTAGAAATACGAAGTCATAAAGGAAGAAAATATGGCTCTCATTTAAACTCCTCTATTTCCTTTGTTATACAGCAAGACCTTCTACCTGTTATTTTCAGACTGCAGTGCCTTTCATTCTGGAGCTGTAGAGAGTAATCAGTGGCCCTGTTTTTGGAGATGTTTGAGGATCATTTCATCTGGAAAAGCAACTTTTCTCTGCAATACAGACTGCAAAGAACACAGCCATGTAATTAAATAGATAATTACTACCCAGCAGCAAGAAGACCAGGCAGACTTTCATTTGAATGTCTTTTTGGGGAAAGTATTCTATTTTTACAGTCTGTGAATCACTTGAAATGCAGAGGCTAGAAGAGGCAGCATGCTATTATATGGTAGCTGATAAGAACCAATTCAAAATAATTATCTAGTTAAAGCAAGTAAATAATTAATTGGTGATCCCTTACTGACATACCTTGGTACGCATATAGGATAGCTGCATATGTGCTTACAAGCCTTATTTGGGCTTGGGTATTTCACTTTGATGCTAAGTAATGTAATTTAAATATAACCTGGCCTCAAAGGGGGGGGGAGCTTAAGGCAAGCCTAAACCAGGGTCAGCTTCCATCTCTGACACAGTTTCCTTAATGAAGTTCATAATTACCAACTTTTCTTGGCTTTTTTTTTTCTTTTCTTTAAAACCTCTAAGGGCACAGCTGTGCAGAGCAGGCCCTTGGCATCATGGCTGGGTGGACAGGGCCTTCCCCACAGCGAGCAGCTGCCTGACTTGCAGGTGAGCCACAACACGCCAGCGACACCCTGACCACGCACCAGGAGGCGGAAGCTAAACTAGCAGCATATATATTATCTCAACCGCAAAACCTGAGCAGGCCCTGTGCTTCGTTGTGAGGAGCTACACCATCAGGTGCCTGGGAAGGCTTTGGGGAGAGCAGAGGAGAAAGGGTATGGGCATGTCAGGAAGCTGTCCGGGTTTGGGAGTTCAGTTTCTATTACTCCTGCTTTGCCATGCTGGAGTGGGGCTGCATTGGTTTTACTGGTAGGTTTACTGAAAGGGGTTAAAATAGCTCCTCTTCTCTCAAATCTTTCCAGAGTGCTGACGGCTTCATCTGGGAGCCTCTTGTGGGTCATCCCCTTCTCACTCTTCACAGTCCACTGTCTCCTAGCTCAAAATGAGTTTCTGACAGAAGCATGGAAAAAAAAAAAAAAAGGATGTAAAAATTGGGTTGCATCAGTCAGGAGACTGAGCTGCGTCCCAGCCATGTGCCAAGGAGCATCTCTGGTTTGGTCAGGAGAATGCATGGCTGCATTTTGCCATCGTGTGGCTTAGCAGGCTGAGCCACTGGCTGTTATGCCTTTAACAGATACATGTCCAGTCAGACGAAGCAGAAGTTTGTGTCTTCAAAGGCTGCTGCAGGTGGGCTGGGAGCATTAGGTTCCCCATGCCACTTTGTCAGAGTCTGTCTGCTTGGGCCCAGATGCTGCAGGTTTGGGCTTTGCTCCCTCACCTCAGTAGTTTCTCCTGCAGCATTACTGGGGTATGACTCGGGTTCTCCTTTCCAGGGTCCTACTTTAGTATTCTCTCATCACCCAGCGCTGAGGTTTCCTTACCATTTCACCTTACTTTATTCCTGCCTAGCATTTCCTCTTCTTACCCCTGCTTTGTTCTGGGAGGCTGTTTTTTTCCCCTGGCACTTGTCCTGCTCAGTCCCAAGCAGTGAAGTCTCTTCCACATTACTTTCTCTTTTCTGGTATCTCACAAGCTCTTCTGCATTCATTCTTCTGTCCTTTCCATGATTTCTTATGTTCTCCCTTTTATTACTGTTCATGTCTTCTGTTCCCTAGGCAATAGTTCTGTTCCAGCAGTGCAGCTTTACCCTCAAATGCAAGGAGACTTCTCCACAATTTTCTAAAATGAAGAGGTGAAACGCAGTTTGAAGCCAGCTGTGTCTGTAACAGTCTATCTTTGCTGCTGGGAGAGTTTGTTTTACATCTCTTGCACTAAGAAATAGTTCAGTGTGTTATACTTATTGGTCATCATTTCCATTTGGGAGGCTGGGTGATTAGGAAGATGGCTTGAGCAGAGCGTGATGGGAACCATCTGAAGGGGAAGAGTATCTGGAGCTGCTTGTGGGGGTGTATGAAGTAGGATCCAGCTGTG